ATGTTTAAGTGCTGCTCACAAGAGACTAAAATTGAACCCTGACCATCCAATCTCAGCTTCACCCCCACCCCTACCCCTCACACCCTTCTGAGACCTTGTCTACCCATAGCAAACCTCCACGATCATGCCTTACCACTTTATGAAAAATATCAGTGCCTTTAATATGCTGTTTGTTGTCTCTGCTCAGAACAGACTCCGCTAGCTTTTTCACTTCGTAAAATTTCACTTATCACACATGCTCCAGTTCAAACATCATGTCATCTGTCAAGACTTTCTTGGCTTCCCTGCACTCCTTGTTCTGAGTTCCCATACTAGTTTATAGGCTCCTCAATTATAATCCTTATCAGGTTTTATAGTAATTATCTATTTATGTATTTAACTCTTCAGATAGACCCCTTGAGTCTTCTAGTCAAGGACTATATATGCCTCATGTGTTTCATCATTCACAGTTCTTAACTTTCTGAAAGAGTTCTCAATCTACATTCAGGACAAATAGGGTCCAAACTAGTTAACAGTTTCTATAACTCAAAGACATAATATAATAATCAATGGACTCTATTAGGGAAACCTTAGCCATTTAGAAGATAGGAAAACTTTTTGGTTTCAAGTTAGCTCTATCCAGGTGCATATTTCTAAATTTGATTTAAAAAATCTTGGTCATATACTTTCATTTCATCAGTACTTTGATGCACATATATTTCAGCAAATATCTGCTTCAGTTTTATTGTTATATTCTGACCACTGAGAGAGCAGAGACCAGGTCTTACTCACCTGTGTATAACACATACAACTTGTATCAGGTAAATATTTGGTAAATTGAATTCCCAAATGGGTTGGATCTTAGTTTGGCTACTATTACAAAATATCTTTGACTGGGTAGCTGAAACAACAAACACTGATTTCTCACAGTTCTGGAGGTTGGACAGTCCAAGATCAAGGTGCTGGCATATTCAGTGTTTGGTAAGGGCTCTATTCCTGGTTTGCAGATGGCCACCTTCCTACTGCATCCCCACATGGAAGAAAGAGAGAGGGCTCTCATCTCATGCTCTTCTCATCAGGGCACTAACACCATCATGAAGGGTCCACCCCCAGAACTCATCTAAACACAATTACTTCCCAAAGATGCCACCTTCAAAAACATCACAAAGAGGACTAAGGCTTCAACATATGATTATCGTGGGGACACAAACATTCAGCTCATAACAAGTTGCCACACAGATATTTGGCCACAGTTTTTAATGATCCATTTGTCTGTTTGCAAGGGAACACAGAAAACTTCAACTCAATTTAAAAAAAAAGAAAGATTCAAAAAGAAGGAAAATATTTTCCTTCACAAAATGCTTCCAATATAGAAACACAAACTTCAAATTAAATCTCTGAAACAGCCATCATTCCTATCAAGCAAGTTAGTTTATAAAGAAGAGCAAAATGTGACTCATACCTCCCTTGTTTTGACTGGGGACCCAAAACTAATCCTCATCTCTACTCCCATGGCAACCGTTCCTGGTTTATCTAAATCTATGCTTCAGGAGGGTAAGGTACAGAGAGCTTTATCTCCTTCCCCACGGGACACATGGGAGGAGCCACCCTGTGAACTAGGCAGTTTCCTGGTCTTTCTCCAAAATCAAAAGTACAGAATTTTAAAGGAAAAAAATCCTAAATGAACATAAACTTTTTACCACTTTAAAAACAACTGAAGGGGAGGGAATGAGGGAAGTTGGACAGCTTTATAAATTTAAACATGAAAAAACTGCTAAAGGAATGAAATAAGAGTCCAGATTTCAAATTAACAGGACACTAATATCTGGATTTTTCTTTAAGTGGGAGCAAACCATGCATGGATGGTTAGCACATCCATGTGCTAATGAGGAGTTAGCACAACTCTTCAAACAACTTAAGAGTGAAATGGTTTTATTAATAAAAAAAAATAAGAGGAAAGAAAAGAAGAGGGAAAGCTGGGGAGTGGACTGTGTACATAATTATGAAATATTTGCCATTTGTTTGGTTTTGTGATGTTACATACCTGCTCCAGTTCAAGTTGAATTCCAAACAAGAAAGTTACTGGTCAGTTCCTACCCACACCACTCACCTTACATTTTAGGAATCTGACATACGTAAGTGAGAGACTATTTCTAATACCACTTGAAAACCACCATATGGTCAGGCTTCAGGCTTTTTCTCCCTACATTAGAAATCCTTGCTTCTCTGCAAAGTCCTTGGTTCTTTCCCTTTAATTTTTTTTCACAGATTCTCATTTACAAACTCGAATATTTTCTTTTTTCTCCCTCTCCTCTTCCACTTCTTTCTCCTCCGAATTGTTTCTTAAGGTCTCCATTTTACTTAAGTGTGGAATTCTGAACTATATAAAGAATTCACTACCCTGAAGATTAGGAAGAATAAACTATGCCTTTTATCGCATAACCTAGTGTCAGTAAAGTATAACTTTATTGATTCAGTTATTCAAATAATAAATGTTCTAAATATAAAAATTTAGCTCCATGTTCAGCTGTTCAGATGAAATAAAATCTCAGAACAAAATCATATATCATAAAATGCTACAAATAAATTCTAAGAAGTATCTTGAAATGCAAAGGCACAGTAATTTTCTCCAATCAGAACACCCTGATCTTATTTTGCAGTCCTCTGTGCTTCAGCTTGCAAGCTCATGGGTTGAAATGCAAAGCTATGAATTTAGCTTTCTGGTAAATTATATGCAAAAGAGGTTTTTTTTTTCCCCCCTTTTAATGGAAATATTAAAATAAATTACTCCTACCACTTTTATTGCATATCTTTATAGAAAAGGGGGAAAGCTATCACTGCAATGGAATCTTCTAGAGGTTCCTTAGAATCATGCCTTCATCAAGAAATAAAACAATTCTCAAATGAAAGGTTTTTCCTGCTTGGGTTATATTTCACTAGTGATACATATTTTGTGATGTCTCCATAGCTGCTTCTGTCACTATTTAAAAGACTTTGTATTTTTTCTCCCTCAGGGAAAGTTAAGCAGCATTGAGTCCTGATTTCTAAAGTCTCTTCATATCTATGTTCTGAAATTTGCCAAAATGACAGCTGCTATCTCTCTAGAAAGAATGACGCCCAACCTCTATTGAACATGAGGGCAGTTAGTCAATAGATGCCAGAAAGGTTCAGGGATAAAACATCACGAATTCAACTTTTACAGAATGATGCTATGTGTTCTCTTAGGACAGAGCCTCATCACATAGATGAGCTGACTGCATCCAAGGAAATATATTCCCTTAAATGCTTATTTCACATGTTTCCTTTTAGTTATAATTATAACCTTCATTAATACCTACTGGCTCATTAGTGAGTCTAACATGAATTCTCCATTGGCAGTCACACATTATCATGTGAAATGGAGAAAAAAATCATGATATTATAACACATGTCATTTATCATGTTATATTACATTATATTATATGATAATAAAATATTAAGCCATTCATTCTTACCAAAACCAAATAATCCAAATGATACAGAGATCATTTAAAGCTACTATTTTGCCATCTATTTATTGGTGGAATTTACAGTCAGTTTTTTAAGGTAGCTTCTTTGCTGATGGATTCCACACTACTATTTAGATGATAAATTTTCTCATATTTTTCGTATCTAAGAAAGTAAAGCATATTCATATTTGTTCTGTTCTTATATGACCACAGTGTCTGTAAGTCAAAGATAATAATGCATGACTGCATTTTGACACATGAAAAATGGGGATCATTGTCATGCACACAAGGTAAGTATATAGCTTGATTTATTCACCACTGGTCCAACACTGACTTCCCACTGGAGTCGATTTCTCCTGCTACCTGGCCCCAAACGCATTCATTATTTTTTTGAATTACAAATAAGAGAAATACTATGGCTAACCCAAAGCAAAATATATATGTCAATTTCTTTGGAATAGGAATATTCAGAGGTATTATGATCAAAGAAGGTCTAGTCTGATATTAAAGAGAGCTTATCTTGCTCCAACCAGTCACCTTCAAAAATATATTTCAAGGCCAATAATATTAAAAGTATATGAAGGTTTGGAAGAAAGAAGCAATCAGTAGTATATATGAAGTATTTCAAAATTTCTTTTTATTTATAAAAGGATAAAATCCTATGTTTAAGTTTTTCCCTTTGCCAGAATGATAATTAAGGAGAAAATACATGCTTTTAAGCTTCTCTAAAAACACATACCTGAAAATTTAGCAAACTTCACAAAGTATAGCTGAAAAGTCTCTACTAACCAACCCTCTATACCATACTAAACTTTTTGACAAGATTTAATTTTTATGGTCTAAGAGAAGTTCCACTTATGCAAAGTATGAATCTGCTCTTAAGGAGTAAGAGAACAAAAACATTCAAAAACACATATTTTCGAGACACAGAATGTTATAGGAAGGAGAGAAATTTGGTCTTCTTCCTTAAATTCAATGGTTCTCAAACTTTAATGTGCACCAGGGTCACCTATATGACTTGATGAAATAGATCATTAGGTTTCACCCTAGAAAATATAGTGCAGTATAGTTCTGGGGTGGGGGCTGAGATGGTATGTTTAATAAGTTTCCAGGTGATGACGACAGTGATGCTAGTCTGAGATGAAACACTGCTCTAACTTAGTCATGTAACCACTGTGGAAATATTCCTATGCTTTGTCTGATCTTTCCCAATGAATACCTTGTATTCTTCATGACAGTGAGTGTTCTACTGACAAAATATCACTTATTTAAGGTTCTATTCCAGAACATCTCCATCACCTCTAAGCTGTCCACTACTCTGTAGAGCATCACATCGTATGGCTATTTAATACATGAAAATAAAGTTATTGTTACATATGTATAAAATCTTTACTTCCTGATGTACAGATTTGGCAGTAAACAATTAAGATGATGAAGGTCTTTGAAGACTCAGTGGTATCTAGGACTTTTGATCTGAAGTTATAAACAGCAAGTGTAGGTTCCAAGTGGACAGCCTCCGTGCTCAGGCCTTACCTGTGACTGGAGCATCAATATCCAGCAAGTTTTTTTCCTGTCGAAGAATGGAAGCCCCCTCTGTTATTATTCTCAATGCAACGGTCTCTTCAAGCCTGCCCTCCTTCATGAGATGTGCCTTTAAGATATCCACACGAGGTTTCCCATCGTTATCAAACACTTCTTTTGCCGTAAGCCGGTGACTTGGAGGAAATGGGACAGCTGAAAGAGAAGAAATCAAAGGATCACATTAGTCGAAACTCAACAACAGAAGATTCAATAATAACTACCAAATGTCCATCCCTATCACTCACCACCTATTGGAGCATTTTTAAAGTTCATATTCAAATATGATCCAGGGCTATCAAGAACTAAAGACTGCCTTCCTTAATTCAAGACGTAATGTGACTGCTGAAAGGAAATGTACAGTTCTTATTCATCCAGTACTTATCTCATGCATCTAAAAGCTACAAGAGTTATTTGTTTGTTAGGCGAAACAGCAGAAGAAAAGCAAAAGAAAAGACTTACTATCCATCCATCCATTCAATTTTGACTCAGGTAAAGATGTTTCTCCACTAAAAAGTAGGCTCCTCTACTGGGATAAGAGGAATGAGACACAGCCTGCCAGACCAGATTTCCAACCAGTGGGAGTCACATCCCTGAGTAAACTGACTGACTCACTGTTTAGGGAGAGAGTAAGAATCTGAGACCGAAAAGGCAAAAACGCACTGAATATCAAACAGAAAATCAGGACTTGTAAGCGCATGTATGAAATGAAACTTGAACAGCAGGAGAACAGTATGACATCGAGAGGAGACACTGGCATTTAGGAACAGAGATTGACCCCAGGTCTTCTGCATTGCAGGCGGATTCTTTACCATCTGAGCTCCTCTTTACCAGAGGAGCCCTAAGAAAGTAAGTGTTAGAGGCACAGTCCCCCAGGCTTCTCTGTCCATAGAATTCTCCAGGCAAGAATACTGGAGGGGGTTGCCGTTCCCTTCTCCAGGCATCAAACCTGGGTCTTCCACATTGACAGCAGATTCTTTACCATCTGAGCCTCCAGAGGAGCCACATGATGTAATGTCAAATCCACTTATTGCTTAGACTTAGAGCCAAACATACTCTCTTCCAACCACACACCTGCCTTTTTAACAGTAAGACAGTCTCTTGCAGCTACTGTCATTCTTCACATCTCTGAATACATTCATCCACTCATCCAGCCAGAGGATAGTCACTAAATTCCTACAACGTGCCAGGACATCCAAAGGCCCGCGATCAGAGATCGTATTATAACAGTTAATAAATGGCACATAAGCCCTTCAGTGGGGGAGACTCATTATTTCTTTATTTTACACAAGGGTTCATTTACAGGATAACTCAGACCGATCAGAAATATCTGGAAGAAGCACAAACACTGTCTCATGTTAACTTTCACCGGCCATGTGCATTATGCCACATGCCTAAGAACTCCATATGAAGCTCCGCTCTTAATGTCATGGATTAAACCTAGGCCGCTTACCTCCTAAAAGTGTCTCTCACAGAAGCAAGATTTAGAGTAGACCTATGCCAAGACATGGTGTGCAATCTAACAGCACAGATTTGTTATCCAAGAGAAATTACAACTACTTAAGAGAAAAGAAAAATCAGGAAATGAATATGTACTAATGGATGCAAGCTGGATGTTCCTAACAATCCAAGCGTATCTACTAAACTATGCTACCAAGATGAAGTGGGAGTGGCATGAATAGGGCTTTCACGGTCAGATGAACCAGGGTGCAAACCTTGGCACTGAGCATTCACCAGCTACATGACCCTGGGAAGCTAAACAACCTCCTTTGGCTTCAGTTAAGTCATACTGACTTAGTGGACATGAATTTGAGCAAACTCCGGGAGTTGGTGAAGGACAGGGAAGCCTGGTGTGCTGCAGTCCATGGGGTCACAAAAAGTTGGACATGACTTAGCAATTGAACAACAACCTTACCTGTAAACTGGGGATTTTATCTATCTGAGGGCTTCTCTAATCACTAAAGTAAATAGTAACAGTAGTAGCTAACATTTATAGAGTGCTTTATTTAATGCCAGGCATTGTTTGGGTAATAAAGTCAGACACAACAATAAAGCTGTAAGACGAGTAAGGCATAAGCACAAGTGTTTATACATAAACTTATTTGGTCCCTATAACATTACTCTGGGGGAGAAACTTGAGACAAATATCTTAAGCACCTTGCCCCAGATAATCACCTAGTGATTTATATGTAGACCCACTGAGCATAAACTCTGGCAGTCTGATGCCAGAATACTTGTGTTAACAGCTTCGCCACACTGCTTCCCAGAAAGTACTTAAGACAGTGCTTCATAATTAAAAAGTGATGAGTAAATCACTTTCTAGAATAGAAATTGCAATGAATCCTGAGAGATATTTCTTATAAAGACCACTTTTATTTTCAAAAATTATTTGAATAGTACAATTATTAGAACAGGTATATAATACAAAAGCAAAAGGTGAAATGAAAGACAAAATGCACACAGAAAATAGTACACTATTTGGCTGTGTTGTGAACAATGTCTATATAGTTATGTGTGCTGTGTTTAGTCGCTTAGTCATGTACGACTCTTTGCAACCCCATGGACTGCAGCCCTCCAGGCTCCTCCATCCATGTGGATTCCCCAGGCAAGAATAGTGGTTTGCCAAGCCCTCCTCCAGGGGATCTTCTAGTCATAGTGCTGTAAAAACCAATATTAATAACCTTCTGAAATACACCCATTACTAAAATATCTGTATTATTTTGGTAAGTGCGATAAGTCCTGTTGGGTACAGAGTACAAACTATAATCAAAAGAGCAGAGGGCTTTCCCACTATATATCTTAAGTTGTATGATTTTTTTCTCCAGTGTTTTGTCTTATACAGGTTTTGAATTTCTTTGATTTTTATTGTGTGTACTGAATACTGCATATGTACTATTCTAATTGCTTGCTCTAATTTACCACAAATAAAAGACCTGTTAATCACATACCACAAAAAAAGAGTAAAAAAAAAAGCATAACATCAAAGCATAATATAAAATAAAGAAAAAGAAAGTTCAACAATTAAATGAAGAGGAGAAAAAAGAAAAAATGAAGTCATTAGACTTCTGGCACTTGGGGAGTATTTTGTTCATTTTGTTTCTTTGCCCTCCCTTCTTTTCTTGCCTAACAAAATGTGCAAACATTTCAGTGGCCACATATCTTTACCTGGGTCTTTCTATTAGGTTTGAAATTAGAAAACACCTTACCTGGTAGCTACTCAAAATTCCCCAGAGGTATCATAGGGGTAGAAATGAGGAAACTTCAAAAGGACACTTGGGGTAAGACCATGAGCTAATTTTTCTTTCCCCCTAGAGAGTTTCTAAAGTATGACCTGGACAACTGTCAAGGTTTAAGTGACTCCGCAAAACTGTCAAGCAATAATCATAGGAACATAGAAGGGAAGGAGGCTGATTTATTGTTAGGCACTGGGTCTCTGTCACATACACACTGTTCTGTGTGTTCAGTTGCTCAGTCGTGTCTGACTCTTTGCAGCCCTGTGGACTGTAGGCCCCCAGGCTCCTCTGTCGATGGCATTCTCCAGGCAAGAATACTGCAGTGAATTGCCATTTCCTACCAGGGGTCTTCCCGACCCAGGGATCAAACCCATATCTCTTGCGTCTTCTGCATTGCAGGCAGATTCTTTACCATTAGCACCACCACATACTAGTGACCTTATTAAACTAAAAATGGATCAAAGGTTAAAAAGAGCTGAAGCATTTAAGAAGGTGAGAGGTGAAAGGAGAGCAGGCCAGGTGACCTTCATGAATCAGACTTTCTCCAAGTCGCTAGACTCTCCCAAAGCCAAGATCACTGCAATAACAGATGCTCCCACCTTTCACTGCATCTCTAACCTGCCAGTAATTGCTATTCCTAAGGTAACTGGCGAAGGTAAAGCCACCTGCATTGAGATATTGGAAATGGTTCCAAATAAACAGCAGTGAGAAAAAAGAGGGAAAAGGCCAATCAGAGGTCTCTATTTCCAACCAAATGATAGAGACACTGATAGGATGGGCTCCTTAACCAGTTAAACAGATGGCAAGGCCTGCAGGGAACCAAGATGCGGTCAGCCAGAGACAAGTTTTCTAGGACAAAACTAAGAGTGGGCTAATATTTGTGTATTTGTGCACCTTTTGGCTTCATAAAGAAAATATCAGCCACACAAAGGTCACATTTATTTGCTTTCTCTTCTCACCCAACGCCCTACAAACAGACCTGTGCCAAATACTGAACAAAAACTTCGTGGACCAAAGAGTCCAATGTGCTTAGAAAACATTTCTTCCATTAACTCATTGCATTCTCTTTGGGCTCCAAAATCACTGCAGACAGTGACTGCAGCCATGAAATTAAAAGACACTTGCTCGTTGGAAGGAAAGCTATGTCAAACCTAGACAACATATTAAAAAGCAGAGATATAACTTTGCAGACAAAGGTCCATATAGTCAAAGCTATGGTGTTTCCAGTAGTCATGTATGGATGGGAGAGATGGATCATAAAGAAGGCTGAATGCCAAAGAACTGATGCTTTTGAACTGTCATGCTGAAGAAAACTCTTGAGAGTCCCATGGATAGCAAGGAGATCAAACCAGTGAATCCTAAAGGAAATCAACCCTGAATATTCACTGGAAGAACTGATGCTGAAGTTGAAGCTCCAATACTTTGGCCATCTGATGTGGAGAGCCTACTCATTGGAAAATACTCTGATGCTAGGAAAGACAAGGGCTGGAGGAAAAGGGGATGACAGAGAATAAGATGGTTGCATGGCATCATTCAACCATGACTCAATGGACATGAGTTTGAGCAAGATCTGGGAGATGGTGCAGGACAGAGAAGCTTTCGTAGTCCATGGGGTTGCAAAGAATCAGACATCACTGAGAGACTGAACAACAATAACACTTGATACAACATAATGGGATTTCCCCTTCCTTCCTTTGCCTTGATGACCACAAGTCGCTTTCACTGATACATGAGTAGGCCAAGATTGGAAGAATTAAGTTTGTGCATGCTAATAAAAATTCTGAAAGAACTGTTGATGTTTGGGCTGACTCTAAAACAATGTTCTCAAAATTGCCTGTTAAGAATACGGTGTCACCAAAGACTTCTTAGAAGCATCCTAAAAATAACCAGAAACCTTCTCAGCTTTCCCTACTTCATAATTCC